AATTATTAAATAATCCTTATTTTTACAAACAAATATTTTACTAAATTTTCAAAAATGGGGGATGTTACACACGCACGTGAATTTTAGAAAATAGGCCAATAAGTCCAATAATAATAATAATAATACTACATTAAATTTGACTAACAATATGAGTCATAGCGGTTGTATGCCATCAGTGTCACACTTCCTTCTATGTACCACAATACTATTAGCCTTTCCTAATGCAGTCCAAAATGAGCCCTATAATTTGTCTTGTCAAGACAATCCTGTCATCACATTCAACCTTAATATGTACATACATAATTGTGAACAGGATAGCAGAAACAAATAACTTTAAGTACGTAAGTAAAAATGTCAATTATAGTGTCCACTCAAACATGCATCACCATATCCTTTATGGGTTGCTCACAAACCCAATCATAAGAACATGTTTTTTCAAAATATTTTAGACTGTAAGTCCTAAGTGAATGGATCAGCAATCAATACAGTGGAACTCAAGTAATTAATTGACATTAGATGTTTCTGGACTCATCTTCTCTAACCATCAAGAACTTTATACCATAATGCATATAGATGCAATAGTACTTGTCATTCTTAGAGAAGAAAACTACTACAATGTCATAAAATATCTTCAACGACTTGGTAATTGAGTATGATTACACCAAGCCCTGAGATAAAAATTTTGCAGTCACAAATTTGATTAGTGGCCTCAAAGCATGCCACAAAATCAACTTTTATTATTAATAATAATAAATTGCTTCTCTAATTACATAAATATTAACCGTAAGGTGGACTTCCTATTATCGAGGCAATTTATACAATCAGCATCTGAAAAATACCATTATTTCAAGCTGATATAATTTCATACATGTGAGCATATAATCATTTGTCCCTTCCGGATATCTTATTACTTTCTCTGTAGTCATTTAATGTTTTTACTTCTGGGTAACTCCAATATATACCCAACATTTTAACTGTAAAAACTGATATCTTTTCTAACAGAGACTTGAGCATAGACTTCCAACTACGCATATACAAAAAATAT